ATATTGTATTTTAATTAGTTCCTGAAAATTTCGTTTTTAAAAACCAATTTTTGTTGAAGTTGTTTAGGAAAAAGTAACTACATGCATTTTAGCGACATAAGGTTTAAAGGGCCTGCCAGGACAGGGGTGGGATTTAAATACCCTTCGCGCCAGTCAAAGATTTAAGTAACTTCAAGTGGCAGTGACAATGGTTAAGTGTCGTGTGTTTTAGTATGACCCAGAAACAGAAGACCAGTAAGACACAGGAGAGAACTGTATGCACACCAGGCATGCCCAAGCAATCACTGAAAATCGATGATTACATACCACTTTGGCTGCAATTCTCCAGGTATAACTCAATTTATCAAATAATTTGTATAGTTTTTCAATTGTTTCCTTATAGTCTGTACATACACAAAATCGTGTCATGCGTCGCACCCGGATTTGGAAAGTATTCTGTGAAAAAAACACAACGACTTCAACTCATTTTTTAAAAAAACTTATTAGATTCAGAGCTCTCTGACTGGAAGTCTGTGTACATGGCTGAGTAGCATGAATTCAGCACCATATCATTCAGGTGCGCTGGCTGTGAAAATGACAATGTCCCCTCTTCTTCCTGCATAGCTGCAGCAACACTCTCAACTGGTACACAGGGCTGCTCTAACCTTAGTTCTGGCTGAGATCTACTCAGTCTGGCCACTGAGTCATCCAAAGCCCAGCCATCATGTGCTGCGCCAGGGGGAGAGTATGTAGATACTTCACTCCCACAGTAAAAGCGCTTGTTCTGCTGCTCATCTCTTGGTGAATCAATGCCCATCTTTGGTGATGCTGAAACACAATTCTCTCAATGAAGTAAGTTAAATATTAAAATTTTGCAGTCACTTATGATACAGAGTAACTGGAGAGAGAGCTGGCTCCGTTGTCTAGGGGTAACGTTCCCACCTCATGACTCAAGGTACGCGGGTTCAAACCTGGCGGAGGTCGTGGAATTTTTAAGGGCGGAAAAAATTCAGGGAACAAGTCCTCTGGGAGGGACTTTAAGCCATGGGTCCCGTGTCATAGATTTACGGCATGTAAAAGAACCTCATATTTCTAGGAGACCTCTGAGCTAAATTAGGCAAATTTTCCCGTCCAAATAGTTTCCAATGCCCCTGGTAGATGGGGAAAGTATTAGGAACCACTGCCAGATGAGGACCGAAACCTCACTGACAGAAAGGGACTAATTATCAGATACCACTGCCAGTAGAGGGCTGACCTCACTGGCAGAAAGGGGCTGATAGCAGGCACCAGTACCGGTAGAGTATGGAGACAGTAGAAATTAAAGGGGGACGCACAATGGACCAATAACTGGTCTAACAAGGGAATGGTCTGATCCGACATGTCAAAACCTGCCCTGATTTTTTTTCACTGCAAGAGTACACACAACAAAATCCACTCTCAAAATTTTAGCTGCTAATATGCACTGCAAGTATTTTTTAAAAATTGCTGAACATGGCCAATATTATAGCCTGCCACACCCTTGGAGAAATGTTCACCCCTAGCAGAGCAGAGCGGTACGCAAAACGCAACATGGCTGACTCACAGCCTAGTCTTCCGGTGCATGGGTAGAGAGATAACATGGCACAAATGCATCGTAATCTGACAAGTACACGTTAGTTTTTCTTTTGATAGTTACTCTGACAGTATTTGCAAGTGATTTACTATCCAGATCCAACCATAGTTACCATTTTATTTTGAGGTACGTGTTAACAGTGCACGATCATTTGTCCTTGTTACCCAAGGTCAAGCTCACGCTGTCTCGCCACAGCTGGGGTTGTACAAACCTCTGGTACAAGCGGTTCCACATACACAAAAAATGAGTACCTTCGGCAATTTTTAAAAAATACTTGCGGTGTGTATTAGCAGCTAAAATTTTGACAGTGGATTTTGTTGTGTACACTCTTGCAGTGAAAAAAAAATCAGGGCAGGTTTCGACATGTCGGATCGAACCATTCCCTTGTAAGTGCGTGGGGAAACGCACCTCTTCTAACAATGAATGAACTGGAGAGAGAGAGAGTTATGTGAGACAACAAAAGTTGTAAAATCTTAACACACTGATTGTTAATCAGTGGCCTGTACTCTGCAAGTAAACTATACCGACTGAGAGAATGCTGCTTGTCAGTGAAGTTAGTGCCAACTTTTGCAGATAACGGGTATCACATAGTCAGCCCAACAAATTCCAAAGGCCGTTAATCTCATTTTTCTTGACTGGAGACGCTATTCGCTTAAAATAGATCCTCAATTATCCTCAAGAGGCTGAGTGGACCACATTCCAGAAAATCTGGCAGCGCCGGGAATCGAACCAGGGACCTCAGGATCTGTGGCCAAGGACATCTGACCACTAGACCATAGAGGCGTTACCAACGCTCTTACAAAGTGAACTTAAGCAGGATGTAGGACACTGCAACTACAAAGATATACAACATTACTCAGACTTTTATGGTTTCTTTGTGGAGCAATTGATTTGAATATTAAGCTGAGGAAATTTATCAAGATTACTGACTTCATATAGGCAGTAGCATAGTTAGTTGAAGCACTATGCTACAACCGGAGCCCCAATGAGTGGGAGTTCTTGAACTGACCTAATCCCTCCAGCCGCACTATGGTCCTGGGGTCGACTCAGCCTCTAACAGAAATGAGAACCAGGAATCTTCCTGGGTGGTAAAGGGCGGCCTGTGCATATGGCTAACAACCTTACTGCCATCTGTGAGCTGACTGTCTAGATAATGTGGGACCCTTAACATCTCACAACCCTATGGGCCTCCATTGCCTGCTACAGGGACAGGTTTTTTTTTACTGACTTGAGATATAAACACTTAATTCCTCAAAATAAATCATTACCAACTGAACATTTTAATAAACATTGCAAACTGGGCACTAAATGAGGAATTAATTTTAAATATAAGAACAACAGGTGGGTTCCCACGGTATATGATTCATTAAAGTCCCTTTCATTCTTAACATCTGTTTCATTATCACAACACGGCTTCTTAAATACAAAGCAACATTATGACATGACTGGAATCTGAATTTTATGCACGCGAATGTGGAATGCTTGACTTCATTCTGTATAAGATTTGCTTCAGATTGGATACTTAGGCTACTGTTCCATGCTGCAATATGGGACTGTGAAACTGTCTTGCTATGTATTCATTTAAGCCATGTCTTGTACAAGATTTTCCATTCCTATCAAGTTCTCAGTGGCATTTAAATGTCTGAGGGTTCTATGAATGCAATACCAACATTCTGTTCCTACAAGTTTTGCTTATTTCTCTACAGTTGGTTTACAAGCAGTGTATACAAGTATACATGCGTATTCAAATGCAACGTTGTGTCAAAATTTCAAAGCAATCGGTGAAGAACTTTCGAGGATTTAAGATTTTGAACAAACGAACATTATACAGAAAGCAGTCTTCTGGGATTTGGCACCGTGTATATGTGGTGTTAACCGACGTTTCGGAGGAACGTATCGCCTCCATCTTCAGGGTAGAAGAAGAAAAAAAATATATAAGAAATCTGCAAACGAAGAGACCGCGAGAACCAGTAAAAGCAGACTGTGTGGAAATATACACAGCTATGCGAGAGCAGAGAGGGTAGGGGGGAAGGGCAAGTATACAAGTGAAAGCAGTAGTGTGGGAGGGGTAGGGGAAGGGAGCTGGGACAAGCATGGTTTTTGTGTAGGGGAGAGAAAGGCAAGGTTAAAGGCTGGGCACTAACCCGTAAGCTGGGGGGGGGGTTATTATGTTGGTTGGTCATGGCCTGTGTGGCCTTCTGGATCTGGCGTCATATCCCGGTGGTTTTTTTTAAGAAAACATATGAGAGGTTTCCAAGACTTGCTGAGACAAACCCCCCCTCTCTGTTCATATTTCCTGGATGCAGTTCAATCTCAATTGCCTCCCTAATGATGCGATCCATATAGCGGGTCTTGGTGGCGAGGATGGAGGTATTCTGAAGCTGAATGCGGTGTCCCAGATCGATGCTGTGTTCAGCTACGGCTGATTTGTCCGGTTGTTCGAGACTGATGTGCTGCTGATGCTCCTTCAACCTCATGTCCACGGAGTTGGACACGCTGCTGGTTTCGCTACGTGGACGACACCTTCGTCATCTGGTCACACGGTCCCTACAAGCTCCAGGACTTCTTGAACCACATAAATAGTATCAACCAGTGCATCCAGTTCACAATGGAAACTGAAACTGAAGGCCACCTCCCCTTCCTGGTTATAGATATTAACAGGAGACACGATGGTTCCCTGGGCCATAAGAGTGTACAGCAAATCCACCCATACAAACCTGTACCTTAACGCTGCGTCCCACCACCACCCTTCCAACAAGCAAGCTGCACTTTCAACATTGGTGCACAGGGCTAGAGCACTGTGTGATCAAGACAGCCTACATGCGGAGTTGGTGCTCCTGAAGGATGTATTCAAGAAGAACGGATACAACAACTGGCAGATCTACAGAGTTCTCAACCGTTGACCCAACATCAGCCGGCCTGAAGACAAACCGGGCTCAGTCGCCTTTCTTCCCTATGTCAGGACCATATTCAACCGTATCAGCAGAGTGCTGTCCCGACACAACATCATAGCAGTGGGTCTGCCGCCATACAAATTCTCCAATTTCCTCTGGCCGGTTAAAGACAGCCTAGGCCTAAGGACACTGGGTGTATACAGTATCACATGCGAGTGCGGGAAGGTCTATATTGGGCAGACAGGCTGCTCCGTGGACATGAGGTTGAAGGAGCATCAGTGGCACATCTGTCTCGAACAACCGGACAAGTCGGCCGTAGCTGAACACAGCATCGATCTGGGACACCGCATTCAGCTTCAGAGTACCTCCATCCTCGCCACCAAGACCCGCTATATGGATTGCATCATTAGGGAGGCAATTGAGATTGAACTTCATCCAGGAAATATGAACAGAGAGGGGGGGTTTTGTCTCAGCAAGTCTTGGAAACCTCTCATGTGTTCTCTAAAAAAACCCCCACCAGGATATGACGCCAGATCCAGAAGGCCACACAGGCCATGACCAACCAACATAACAACCCCCCCCCCTCAGCTTGCGGGTTAGTGCCCAGCCTTTAACCTTGCCTTTCTCTCCCCTACACAAAACCATGCTTGTCCCAGCTCCATTCCCCTACCCCTCCCACACTACTGCTTTCACTTGTATACTTGCCCTTCCCCACTACCCTCTCTGCTCTCGCATAGCTGTGTATATTTCCACACAGTCTGCTTCTACCGGTTCTCATGGTCTCTTCGCTTGCAGATTTCTTATATATATATTTTTTCTTCTTCTTCTACCCTGAAGATGGAGGCGATACGTTCCTCCNTACGCACGTATTCAAATGCAATGTTGTGTCAAAATTTCAAAGCAATCGGTGAAGAACTTTCGGGAATTTAAGATTTTGAACAAACGAACATTATACAATTTAAACTCATTTACCAAGTTAAACCTTTGGTAACAGGTAAAACTTACACATTATATATACATAACATAACCTTCTTGACCAATGAGTATGTAACCAAACTACATATCATGCAATAATGTTGATGGGTCAAGCTCAAGAATCATATATCACCTACCTTCTTGCCCAATTTTAACCACAGCCTCGAACAGTGCTTCTCTGAGCTTCTTTACAAGCTCTTCCAATTCATCCATCCTTATTTTCAAACTTTCATTTTCTCCCTCAAGTTTTGCAGCCAATTCCTCCATCTCTCGATCACAAACTTTCCTATTTTCTCGGCATTTTCGTGATGCCTTATTATTTCTCTCTCTTCGCTCTCGGTATCGGTCACTCATATGATTAACAGAAGGCATTCTTGACCTTTTCGCAGGAGTCCATGACTCACCAGCTACAGAAGTTGACAATTTTTTCTCTGCTGTGACCTGCTGCATGAACTAATACTTTCCTTAGATGGTGATGGATATTCCCATTTTTCTGGATGTCCACGGGTTTCTTTTGCCACAAACTCCACACCGGTAGGCAGTGTGGTACCTGGCACCAGCTGAAATCCAACAAACAAGATACATTTACTCACATTACAATACATTATCAAAAATTTGCAAACATAATATAAAAAATTTTCCACAAAACACTAAGCAACCAACACTTTCATGCTATTACAATTTCAGCTACCTACAGCACTATCAAATAAATTTCACGGTCATCTGATTGCATGTGAAATTACATTCTTTATTTTCATTTCATTCCTTGCATGCCTATAGGTGCCATCTTTTAAAATCTTTATCATGTCCCATAATTTCAGGACTACTGACAGCACAAAAATATTAAGAGTTTCCAGGAGAAAGACATGCACGTCTACTCTAAGAAACAGATCCCATACACAGTAATGTTGTCCCTGTGCTTAACTAATAAGGCATTATGCCATGAAGGTGTATACTGTCCCAGGTCCCCTCCCAAAAAAGGCCTGATACAATTATCCATCTATGCTGTAAAGTGGTAACGTGTGTAACATCAATAAATTAAATACTCAGGACATTGGTTGGAGAACTTACGCCATCAAGAATGTAGGAAACCAAGTCAAATGGTTCATCTTGCTTCAATAAAGATTGCAAGATCACAGGTGTGTTGTTGATTTTGTCAGTGCCCAATGGTGTTGCAAGATCAAGCTTCAGGTCCCTCTTTGCAACATTCCCCTCCTTTACTGCCGATTGTGGTAAGAGCACATGAACATCTCCAGCGGTCACTTCATTGGTCACATTCATAAGCACACTGGGCTCGGAATTCATGCTTGGCAAGCTGCTCGCCAAAATCTCTGTAAGCATAGCAGTTCCTCTTTCCTTGTAGTTCACATATTCCTCTCCATGGTGATGATGTGTCCATCACACCAAGGAGTGAAGTAAAGTCAAATTCAGGCTCCACACCTGTAAAACAGTAAGACATTAGCTGTTTTTTCTGTCCATGCAGTAAAGAATGTACATAACCTTACTAACAAGGTACACAAAATCTATACAAAAGTATGCAGTCTACACAACAATATTCTGTTTTTTTAAATCAAAGTAGACACTATCCTGCCAACATTTGGTTTTATTGAGACTAAATGTTAAGACCCTTATACTGGGTCATCATCAGGCATACAGTGATACCAGACTTGGTTGTTGAATTGCATCTAATTCTTCAACAAGGATCTTCATTGTGCTCTTGAGTGTTTTTAAATGCATAAATTGAGTTTTTCAGTTACAATTTTAAATACTCAGATAATAAAATTTAAAAAATATAGAATAAAGATTAAAACTTAAAAATTAAAATTGTACTAAAATGGAAATGAAGTATTTTGTGATAAATCTCTTTAAAAATTTGTGACCGCTATGTGTTGAC